AGGGAGAGATGGGGATACTTGTGGGGGTTTAGGGGGGGAGGGGTTTTGTTTGTATGTGTAGGTGTTACTGTGTGTGTGTTTGTTTGTTTGTTTGTTGGAGGTGTGTGGTGTATGGTACCGTATTGTATCTGGATTTTACAGTACACCTGGTAGGTACCAAGTATCTTACTAATGTAATTTATGTAGATAAGTATTACTCGAGAAGAACTCTCACTCCCACTCCCACTTCCGTTTCCAATGACTACTGACTTCTGACTTCTGACTTAGGTAGTCTGGTAGTTGGTCTCTCCATACCTCCCGTCGATACTAGATAGCGTAGTGATCAAAGAATAGACAACTCTCTACTGTACCTACGAAGTAGTAAGTACAATCTATTGTAGTACTCTCAGTATCTTCCGCTGGAGCAAACTAGACTAGACTGGACTAGACTAGATCCACTTGGTAAGATCCTGTACCGTACCGTACCGTCGGTCCCGATGCTCTGGCTCTGGGGAAAACAAACCAAACTACCGTATCTTCATTCGCTTCCCCCTCTTGGGGTTTTGCTCCACCTCCACCTCCACAGAGTAGAGTCGAGTCGAGCTGAGCTTGTCATCTTAGATACCTAGGTTAGTTCTGTTAGTTGGGCCACATGCAGTTCGGTCGTTCTAAAGAGTTAAGCTTTTTCCTAACGCGCGAGATAAGGCGGGAAGGAAGTCAGTCCGTCACTCGGTTGGGGTTCTGACTTGGTGGTGATTAGTGCGATTTCCAGTTTCCGGCGAAGGGATACTGTAGTTGGTCGTCCTCTTCTCTTTTTCGGTGACGGGTTTGGTTTGGGGAGGGCTTTCTTGGGACTGCTGGTGGAGGGCTAGTGTGTATGGTGTGGTGTGGTGTGGTGGCTTGGTTTGATGATGTGATGTCGAGGGTGTGGGTCGATGGAGATGGGGGGATTAGAGTTCGTGGCTTGAAGCTTGGTTGGACATCTGGATAACGTTATTTTCGTCATTGGCGTAAAGCCTTTTTTGGGGGTTGTTGGATGGTTTGTTTGGCGGTTGGGCTGCCTGTTTGTCACATGCGAATGGGAGCTTATCTCATCCCATCTGGGAAGGGAGAGTTCGAGTTATCTAGGTATCTATACGAGGGAGGCTATGTACGAGCAGTAGTTCGGTCAGGTACTGTACTGTACAGTTCAGTAGATGATGTGCTCCGGTGTTTCCACCATCAATCCCCAAGTCCACCGCCTTTCAGGAATTAAAGTTGCGATGGGAAGTTAACTTCTTGCCCTTTGTTTACTCGTTTCTTCGCGTGGTGATGATTCATCTCGTATATATACGAGTCCTCTACTTTGCAATCCTACTGTATCTCGTCTGTTGCCGCTGAGATCCCAGGTACTATACTTCTAGAAATGTAGAATGAATGAAGGGAGCCGATTTTTTGGGAGCCGAGAGAAAAACATACATACATGCAGCAAGCGCCTCGCTTGGGCGACGGAAGAAGCGGGTGTCCCATGCCTGATTAGACGTGCATATCTTGAGGTGGGTGGAAGAAAAGACACCCTCTGGCTCTTGTTGGATTCCCTCCCTGCGTTAGAGACCTTGCGTCGTCTTTCTCGATGGGGGAGGAGGCCCGAATGCGGTCTGTCTTGCGAGCGAAAGAGGGAGATGGTCTCGTGTACTAGGTACATGTACGGTATCTAAGCGACCTTTTCTCATGTGAATTGTCCCCTACGAATGCGGCTGCGAAACAATATCCAGACAGATAGGGTGCGTTTGGGTGGAGGAGGGTTGGATGGAAGGATTTCAGGTCCTCCGGGTTTTGTTCTTTTTGCCGCTGCGAGGGATATTGGGGATGGGAATGGGAATGGGAATGGAAGAGTTACAAGCGAGATAGTTACTCTTCTGTACATGTAGACCCTACAGTACAGTACATGTGCAGACGCTTTCGTCCGGCCTGCTTCAAAGATACTGGATGTAATGTATTTTGATCGACCGGCTTTGATGTACCGAAGCCACCGGGTTCGCAAGAAAAAAAGGAAAAAATTTTACATTGGCGGGCGGACGGCTGTTTCTTCTCCTTCGTAAGCCACGGAATTTGTTTGTTGTGGTGATGTTGGGTTTTGCCAACGAAAGTCGTTGGATGCTCGGTTGGGTTGGCAATCTCGTGGGGTGGGGGGCCAAATGACGGGAGGGAAACACAGTAAGGTTGGGTTTCTGGAGGTGGAGGGAACAGGGGGGTTGCTCGGGATATGCCAGAATAGTTGTTTGCGGCTTGAAAACTCGTGGATCGTCTGGTCTCTGGAGGTTTTGAATATTGCCTTCCATTGCACAGTCGTAGCTGGTGGCGAATTGAGGGGAGAGAATCTTGGGGCTCCAATGTTTTTGTTTCCTGACAGGGAACCTTTGGAACTTGGTGTTGCCAATTACGTCGTGAGCTGACGCGGGAAGGTGGGTGGATGGGTGGATGGGAGATCGGAGAATTGAGGGGGACTATGGTTGTTTTCAAAGATGTCAAGGTCAAGGGGATGACTTGCATATGTCGTGTTTTGCGTTTCTGGAGACGGACCGAGAGGTACCTTTTCTAATCTTGACCCGATGAACCAATGCCGGGAAGGAAAAATTTGAAAAATATAGGACGAAGCCCTAATGCATGATGCGGATGCGGAGTATGTTGTACGCGCCATGCTGTGTTTTACGTTTTGGGAAGTCCAAGACGAAATTTTCAAGGG